GTGGGTACGCGAATGAGCGTGGGTACGCGAATGAGCGTGGATAAGCGAATGAGTGTGGGTGCGTGAATGAGTGTGGGTGCGTGAATGAGTGTGGAATTGCTTTGGACTTGACTTCTTCGCACAGTGAACATGGAGTCTGGGAGCCCTTGGGTTTCCAGACTTTTTAAGAACGTCTTGCAGCTGGTTTTCAGACAAGCCTTCGAGGCTCCTGGTCTGAGTCACTGTGGACGTCCAGCTGAGCAGGCCAATGGAACCAGGGGTCCCTCTCCASGCTCGGCCAGGTCTCTGTCACAGAGACTGAGAAAGGACTTTGAAAGGCACAAGTGCACGCACCACCACAAGGAGGGCGTGTCCAGAGGGGGACGCTCAGGGGCAGGGGGCTGCGGGCAGGGCCACCTGTGCAGACTGACAGCTGCCTGGGCAGCGAGGTCCAAATCAAGGACATCTCAGGAAGATTTCAGATCATCAGAAAATCTAAAAAGAAAATCTAAATGCGTCCAGGAAAAGAAAATAAAAATAGGTCACATTCAAAGGACGGGCTAAAAATGGCATCCGCTTCTCAATAGTGACGCCAGGACTGGAGACTGGTCTGCACTGTCAGAGCCTCAGCTGAAGGCGGCAGGACCAGCTCCCGGGCTGGGGACAACGTGGACTCAGTGGGCACRGTCTCGCGGGAGTCCAGGGAGCCGAGGGGCCGCCGTGAGGCGCGTYGCCTGTTTTTCCCGGGCCTCCTTTACCGTCCTCCATGGGCAGCATGCTGTCTGCAAGCTCCTCTCCAGAGACCAGGCTAGTGGCTCTCTCCACGTCGAGAGACAGAGATGGGCTGCAAGAAAGTCATCACAAAACACAGATCAACAGGACCCGAGATCTTAAAGTATGGGCTTTATAATAAKCAATAACTTACCTTAAAAAGACACTTAGAAAGAGAACAGATACGTCACCGATTAGGGAAAAAATACTTGTCGCACAAATATCTGACAAAGGTCTTGTATCCAGAATATGTAAAGAGTTCCTGCACATCAATAACTCAAAGTCCAGACTCCAGCTGAGACAGACAGAAGGTCTAGAGTGGTGTGACACAAGAAGACAGAAAGAAATGGCCAACGATCACGGGACACGTGGTGTGACACCCAGAGTCACGAGACGAAGACTAAAGCCCTGGCRCTATGTGCCCCCGAGGTGGCCAGGAGTCACTGCAAAGGTGACACACACACACACTGGCCAGAACTCGGATCCATCCGCAGCCGTGAGTGTGACTGGCGGGGATTTCTTGTGAACAGACCTAACAACAGGCCCCTGATCCTAAGGACGGCTGAGAAACTGCCCGAGGGCGTTCAGGGAGGGTCACGCTCCATCTCATAGCTGCAGACTGGAAAGAGCCCAGGTGCTGGACAGGAGGAGGGAAGGACAGCTTGGGGCACCTCTGGGAGCCACAGAAGGGGTGGTGCTGGCGGTCAGGTGCGCCCAGGGCTCTCTCTCGAGGGCCTCTGCAAAGTCGTCAAGTGGTCACAGGAGTACGCTGAAGCCCAGAGCAGCAAGCTCGGGCAGGGGCCCGAGTTCGTAGGGTGGCTTCCGCGTACCAGGATGGACGGCCAGGGAACTTGCGGGGTCTGGGGCCACCCTATCCCTGGCTGCACAGGTGTATGCCGTGGTCAAGATGGACCCAATCGAAAGTTTCTGACCTCTGTGTCTGCCAGCTGTGGTGGCCATGCCTGGGACCTAGCTACGTGGAGGCTGAGGCAGGAGGACTGCAAGTTCAAGGCCATCAGCAACTTAACAAGACCCTGTCTCAAAGTCAGAACCAGAAAGAGCTGGAGATGGAGCTCAGCGGTCGAGCCTCCGGGGCCCCTTCCCAGCACCACACACATGTTATCTCAGCAGAACACACACACACACACACACACACTCACACACACACAC